AGGTTTCTTAACACTGAGCTGAATACCACTCTTGAATCTCGTCTTCTGTAGCTTTGGAAGACCTATTCTAAAGGATTTCCAAAAGAAATAGTAGTATATAGATGGTATTTTGCTTTTTTAAATTTATAACTGTATGTCCATGAGTAGTGTAGTTAAGAGTGTGACTTGAATTTTCTGATTTTGTGTAAGAATATTATTCTTAACAGAAGAACATTTTTTTTACAATCTCTGGAGCATTCCCTATTGATGTAGTTTGTTACTATTTGAACTGTCAGTTCATCTGAACTCTGCTGACGTGAGAGAATTCTTTTTATGAAATATTAATTTCTAATTTTTAAATAAAACTCATAGGGTTTTCTTATTATTTTTTTAGTTAATATTATTGGCACTTTATGACCTTTGTCTTCACCATTAAAGTCCTCTTTGTAAACAGGATTAGATCAAACAACTGGCCACTTCAGCCGCAGAAGCATTTATAGTTTAGTTGAATTCCCCTGTGTTCAAATCATATTTCTTCTGTTTTCATATGAATTACTCATAATTTATTGTAATGTGCCCCACAACAATTTAATAAGTGTACTAGCAGATTATATTAGAATTTAATAATTAATGGAATGACAGTAGAAATGTTAGAGGTATTACTTTACAATAGAAATCCCCACAGTGAATTTTCAGTTAGTTCAGATAATCTCCTGATGTATGTTAATCGCTACTCTTTCATGAGCTCAGACAAGGCCTCTAATGAAAGTTGTAAGCATGTTCAAATTAAATTTGAAGAGGTGGACTACAGTAATGCCTGTAAATTTAATCCCCAGTATGAGAGAGACGTAGACGTACTGGATCAGATCCAGCAAAGGGCCATGAAGATGATGAATGAATTGGAGCATCTCTCATATGAGGAGAGGCTGAGAGAGTTGAGTGTTTAGCCTGGAGAAAAGAAGGCTCAGGGGGGATCTTATCAATATGTGGAAATACCTAGTGGAGTGAGTAAAGATGAAGTTACTGACAGGACAAGAGGGAATAGGCACAAACTGAAGTACAAGAAATTACATTTAAAGATCAGAGAAGTCTTTTTTACTGTGAGGATGGTCAGTACTGGAATGGGTTTCCCAGGAGCCTCCATCCTTGGAGCTGCTCAAGACCTGACTGAACATTTTTTCTGAGCAACCTGATTTAGTTGGCCCTGCTCTGTCTGCAGGGGTGGTTGAACTAGGTGATCTCCAGAAGTCCCTTCTGACTTCAGCAATTATTTGGTTTATTCTAGATAAGTTAACTCTGCATTTAGCTAATTTCATTCTGTAATGATTTACTTGCATTTTGTATTTTACCCTTCTATGGATGATCTCCAGTTGATTGGATTCTTTTTTGAAGTAGGAAGTCCAAAACTAGACACAGTATTTCTGCTCATTAAGTGGCAGGCTACTGTTTTATCTCTGACATCCCTGTTTATAGCCTAGGATTAGATTTGCCATTTCATTTTCTTCCTTTTTTTTTTTTTTTTTCTTGAGAGCATTATGTTATTGACTTATATTCAGTTTGTTATTCGTTTTAATATTCCAGTTCTTTTCTATAGAACTGTTTAGTCAGGTACTCTCTTATCTCCTATTATACCAAATTCTTTAATTATTAAAATTATTAAAATGGAGGAATTAGCATGATAGAATTTGTAAAAGACAACATGCAAAAATTCTTTTAATTAGTTCATCAGCATCAGATACAATAAGGGTAGTCCTAGGTGTTGTGTTATGTATTGCTTTTATTGAAATGCATCATATTTATTTCTCTAGTATGTCGATGGACTTTTGAACTCCAGTTCTATCGTCTGAAGCACTTGCAACAGCTTTGTTTGTGGTATTTCTGTGTTATCATTCAGGTCATGAATATGCAATGATATCATAAGAAGAATTTACTTAATGAAAGCTTCTTAAGGGCTGATGAGGTTTTTTTTTGCTAGTTATGGCCTGTTCCTGGCTAGAGTTCTCCCAGTGGTCATGTCAGCAGCATACAGAAGTTGTTCTAGGATGAACGCTCAGTTTATCTTTACTGAGGTGTATTCGCCAAGTGTGTCCCACTGTTTTCTGAATATCTGTATATAGTACTTATATCTCGCAGGTGAATCTTCTCCATTTTCCCCCTAGTTAACTTGGGAATGAGTATGTTTTATATCTGCCTTCCAGTAGTGTGAACTATATAAACAAGTCTCTGCAATACCACTTCAATCATTATTTGATTATGTACTAAGATTTTAATTTCTTCCTGTTTATTTCCTCTATGTCTTGTAAAGTTTAGAGATATCTATGTGTTCAGAAGATTGAGCACTGTTTTCTTTGTTCTCCTTCCAGCAATCATATTCTTTATCTCAGAGCCTTCTCCCCGTTTTTGGGCATTTGTCCATGTCACTACACGTACACATATGGAGTTATGATGCCACCTCCCTGCTGATCCTTGTTTAAAACTGCTCTCCTCAATAATTCTTCCTTGTACAAGATGGACCTACCTTTGTTCATTTGTCCTCTGTGCCAGAACACCACCTTGTGGAAAAGGAAAGCAGAGCTTCATCTTTGCTTGGTTAGGAAGATTGAAACGACCTGAACCTCCAGTTTCTTCTCCCTTACTTTTGGGTCCTTTCAGTTACTTTTGAGCAGCTCTAGGTAATATTTGCCAGTGCTATTAGTGCCCATATGAATAAGCAGCGTGGAATTAAAATCAGAAGGCTGAAGGAAGCTCAGCACTTTTACTAGAAGTGGTGAAGCAGTGACAGAGCTTAAAAAAGTGTGTTTATTTAATTTGATTACATTTATGGTTAAGAAAATTATACTGCTCTAATTAAGGGTTACGAGGATTTTCTATAATAAATTTGAATTTTCAGCTATTTATAGCTCAGGGAAAATGTTTCCATACAGAAATTTGGCATTCGGTGTCTCAAGCTGAATGGTATGGTTTTCCTTTTCCTAATTTTTTAAAAAACACTCTTTGGCTGCATTCTGTTTTGAGGGAGGCAATTTTTCGTGGTTTTATATGCTTTTTGTTCTCCCTTGGCAAGGCTTGATACATGGAAAAAACAAATTTTCCAGGCTCTTAGTCTTTTATGTCAACTATTTCCTTTCTGATGTTTCAAACATTGTACTTTGGTAGTCATTACTTTTTAACAGAGCCACTATATAATTCAATAAGCAGTTACCTCTAGGTATCTACCATAACTACTTTTTATACTTTGTTATATAAAAATACTTCATATAATAAAATTTAGAAAACGATTTTTTCTGAAACAAAATTATTTAACTGACATGTTTAGTGTTTAATGTAAGTACTTGTGTATTTCTGTAAGGTTCCCCTTTTTTGGATTCTCTTAAAAAATAAAAATTATTTTTCATTTTCTATTTATTTCTATTTATTATCTGTAGACCATTTAATGCCATACTTGAAGGTGTTAAATTTCTCTAAGTTAGTCTCATAGTTTCTGAAAATCCTTCCTTTTGCCCAAGGGGATGGTGCACATTTGGAATCCTCCAGTTAGAGTTCAGGGAACTCAATCCCTCAATTCATGAAGCCTGAGTCCTGGTTAAGGTCTGATGCCATCCAGATAGTAAACAGAGAAGTGTTTAAACTTTGCATAAGTTCTTAAAGTCTTCAGTCTGTTCTGTGGATTTGAAGCTTGCCTAGTGAATGCAGATGGCATTGAGCCTGGCACAGAATACGACTGGTGGCACAGAATATGACTGGTGGTTGAGGTAACTTCCTCAGCTGTGTTTCAAGCGATGTGCAAATATTCTCCAAGTGTGACATTGCGATCAGAAGACTTTCCAAGAAAGCATGGAGTCTCTTTTTTCTTCCTGACAGCACTGTCAAGTATATATCTCCAACATCTTGGAAGAATGTCCTAACACTTAGTTACAGAGTATTCATTAATAGGACAGGTAAGATTAAGGTTAAGAGGTACTCTGTTACTCCTCTGATTCAGCTTGGGCCACGGAATGGAAAAATGCTAGAGTCATTTTAGCAGGAGATGGTACATATATTCTCGTAGTCTCTAATTTGTTTCTGAGTTTTATCCAGTGATTATGCACTGTAAAATGCATAAATAGGACACAGGGGCCTGAACCTAAGTATTCTGCCTCCCTTTTGCTTGCTTGTTATCTGAGCTTCAGCAATGCAGCATGAGAGAAATTATTAATTATGATAGGAGAAAGATGATCAGAACAGAATTTGTGAGATGAGTAAGAAACCGTCTGAGGAGGAAATAAGAGATAATGTTGAAAGCAGATTTATTAGACCACAGAGGTATTGCTGGTGGAGTTCCTCTGGCGTTTTTTTAAAACGGTTTTCTTCTATAGTACTAACACATTTTTTTTGAGGTAATATGTGTTTGTGTTAAAATAAGATAATCATGTTAGTCCCAATGTTTTCACCAGAAAATATCAAGGTAGGAAGATCTGCTGATGAGAGAAAGACAGGAGACATTATCAGTACCGTACCGGATGCCACACAGGAGGAACTGAGTGACCTTGATGACAGCAGCAATCAACGTACTATAGATGAAACTAGGTGAAATTCAATGCAAAGCAAGACTCTTCTGGACACAGAGCCAAGGTGTTTACTCTAAGCTGTTAGTCCATCAGCTCAAAGAGATTTGTTTGTAGAACTGCCTTGAGGTTCCAGTACAGCCCTTGTGAGAGTCATGGTTCTTAGTGTCATGTTCAGGAACAGTGAATTCAAGTGGGGACTGAGCAGGGGGTGAGACACCTGGACTATGGCTCAGAAAGATTGTATGCCTGTAATATGACCAATGGAGAATAAAAATCAATACTTGAATGCCTTTCTGCAATGTCCTTTCCAAAATTCTGTCCCCTATGAAATCCAGGGCTGCAGACAACCCCTGAATGGCTGTGTGAATGGCTCCTGCACGTGCTGTAGCTGTGTGAACTGTTCTGTAAAGACAGGTACAGCTTTTTGATTTCAGCAAAAGTTTTACCACAGTAGGAACTGAATAGGATTTACAGGATTTGGCCTAGAAATTGAACATTTTTGCCACTGAAGTTTTATGGACATTTTCCATGCTCTCGATTAAGCTTTGGTTCACGTAATCTATTTTAGCTCCTTTTTTTTTTTTTTTTTTTTATCCCAGTCACAGCTTTACTCATAGCACAGCTGTGGCATTTGTCTTGTAACACGAAGGATCTGATAATCATGAAATAACGCAGATTTATGCCCGTAGTGCTGAAGCGGTGCCATATTTGTGAAAATAACTTAAAAAAAGAGAAACAATATGCAGCAGATGTGAAGGTTTTACCTTCACATTTAAGTAGGTTTATACTGTCAGCGAGTGTGGGCTTAGCACAGCCTGACAGAGTTTTAACTTACCAGATGTTCCACGTGATCAAATAGATACTATACAGCTGTTTCCCATTGTTTTTACTGGGCTCAGTTAAATACACAGTAAATGCTCCGAAATATGTTTATTGTGTTTTGGCCAGTGCTGTAGAGATCTTACTTTTATCCATGGGCACCGAGAATGCAGGGATAACTGAAGTTGCTGTAGGATTGCTCATTTTCCATTACTGTGAGGAGAAATTAGTGGCCATTTGGTTGAAGCAAGCCTGATGTTACTAGCCTGGGAGGGATGAAAAATGGGTGTTTCATCTGATTGTGGATGATGTGAGATTAAGCGGCTGTATTTATGCACTGCAGAAGTGACTTCTGGTCTCCGGGCGGGGCTGTGACTCCCACGGGTGGGAGCCGTCCCCCTGAGCTGGGAGTGTCATCCTTCCCGTGGCAATTAACTCTTGAGGAGGTGGTGGGTGCAGCAGGAGCAGCCGTCCTACAGGTAGCTTGTGCTAATCCTGGAACGGGCTTTCAGCACTGGCATGTTGAAAAGGTGGTCCTGCTCTGGCAGGGGGGTTGGACTAGATGATCTTTCAAGGTCCCTTCCAACCCCTAACATTCTGTGATTCTGTGAATGGAGACATTGGGTCGGATTCTGTATTCATTGCAATACAGGAAACAGGGCGTCACCTCCTGAGCAGTATGCCCCAGGTTGGCCACTTGATGTGTTTTTAAAGACAGACAACTTTTGGGGATCAGTCTAAATAACTGTTTTGAACTGTTTCAGGACTCAAAGGCCCAGGTTATGTTAACTGCCACACCTGTCAAATTGATTCAATAACAGTACAGCTAAATAATAAAAAAGGAAGTTTCATTTCCCTTCACCTGCTTTTCTGCTCTTGTTTCTTCTTCCTTCCCCTCCAACTCCCTGTACTCTCCTTAGCCCTTTGACCTTACCGCTGCCTGCCTTCCCTCCTGTCACCATCAGCCTCTGGCCTTTCCAGAGCTGCTTTTACACCTGGAAAATTCTTTTTCTTGTCTACCAGGGGCCTTCCTTGTTCTCCTTTAAATCCTTCTTTAAAACCGTCGTCTTCAGGCAGAGGAATTACTTTCATCTTTCATTAATAATCTCTTCAACATTTCTTGACTGTTCTGTGTTTTTTCAGATTTATAGCCTAGTCTTGCAAATGTTTACAGAGAAGTAACTGTTCAGTTAAATTGAGAACATTCAGTCAGAAGTTCGGAGGCCTGGATTGTTCATTGGAAAGCTTTTTGAAATGGGAATATTTTTCACTCTGTAAAACACAATGTTCATTTACGGTTTTATGTACATTTTTATGATAAACATTTGTGGCCTCAGAGGAGCAGTGGAACATGCACACAGATAACTTCTGCTTTTAACTTTTATTCCCTAACTCAAGGTGTGGAACATGTTCTCATAGATTTTTAAAGGCCGTGAGCAAACTTAATGTTGACAATATGACTTTATACCCAGAATCATATGAGGGGACAAGTACAAGCTGTACCTTTGATCTTGGTGACCTTCGTTGTTTTGTAGTTCAGTATTGATTTTTATTTCAGGAATCTCAAGCATCTGGACTGCCTGAGTACATAAAGATTGTAGAAGTTGGGCCAAGGGATGGATTACAAAATGAAAAGGTAGTTTTTCTCTTTTTTTTTTTTTTTGGTGTGTGTTTTGACATGGATATCAGTGTTGTCTTCATTGTGTAAAATATGTACGTCCTACTACTCATGTTTCTTCCACTTTGTACTATAAATATATTTATTTCTTTTCATATTGATGATTATTTTATATATTAGAATAAAAGTGTATTACTATTTAGCCAGATGTTAAATCTCGATTTCTTTCCATGCTTGGTTAACTAGCCTTTCTGTTATTTAACTGCCATTTCTTTTTCTGGAATTTGTCTTGTCATTCAATAACATTCTGTCATGACATAATTGGTAAATGCCATGAAGCACTGGCTATCTTCGTTATATGTGTTTGTGCTATAAGTGCTACTATAATA